GGGGGGGGAGCGCACTGTTGGACGCCTGCAGATGGTCAAGGGAGCAGAGAGAGAGTGTTTGTCAGCGCTGCCTTGGGTGACTGTGCTGCAATTGTAGGTGGGGATTTGAGTGCGACAGAGGAGTGGAAGGAAGGAGGGAGAGGAGGGAGGGCCTGCCGAGGTGGTACGTTGTCTCCTCGCCCGATCTTGCCAGCCTGCCCCCCGCTCTCACACCCACAAGCTTCTCAGAGTTACACACAGTCTCTACGACCCGCTTGAGCTCTGCAAGACGCGCCCAGAAGAGCGGACGCGACGCGAGGTGAGAGGGTCAAGCCGTCGCTGTGCAGAGAGTTGACGCGCGCTGAGAGCCCGAATTGCCAAGACGCTACTTAGAGAGCCGAGAGCCACTTGAAAATGTGCACAGCTTTTGAAGCACCGGTGGATTGAGCCAAAGCGAGGCGATAAGCAAGCGGCGGGGCGAGGCTTGGGGGAGGCCTCAGGCGCGGGCGCGAGCCAGTCAAAGCAGGAGATTGAATAGGGCCCTGTCGAGCAGTGATGGGACAGGCATTGAACGAGGGGGGTTGAGTCAACCAGTGGTCAATGAGGCCTTGACGACCCCTGGTCGACCCCCCCCCCCCCCTGGTTGACCCCGCTTCAATTCCTCCTGCTCAAGCACTCCATCCCCAACCCCTCTTCAATTCCCTGTTCCACCACTGCTCAACCTAGAAATCCACCAAAATCCTGTCAACCACCTCTCCAACCGGCATTGAATGTCCGAGCCAAGCGGGAGGCTCCTTGGCAAGGGTGCTTCTTGCGCCGGTTGCAACTTGTGTTGCTCCCCTCTGCGCTCTGGCCCCTGCGCTTAGTTTGACATTTTTTACCTTCGCACCCTGCCAGCATGACATATGCTCAGTGCGCCCTCCTTGTCTCCACCAGCTTTTCCGCCTCACGACAGGCACCCTCTCCAGCCTGACCCGGCCCAAGGCTACCATCACGCCCCCTCGCTTGCCCTGCCAGAGCAGCAAGACAAACATCAGCAAGAGCAGCAGCAGTACCCAAGAACCCACTGTTATTGAGCAGACAGGAAGGCTCAGCCCCAAGTATCGTGGCTGGTGGAGCTCACACATGCGGCGTTCACAGTCATCAAGGTCAGCGAGTGTGTGAAGGAGTCAGTGCTGTGTCCCAATTGCCTTGTTCAGGATGCGTCACAGGGCCAGGCTTCAGGCTGCTGTTGATAATGGTACTTGCCCCTTGGCCGGAGGATGTCACAGCACTGTGCAGAAATGTGCCTCCACCTTTCAAGTGGACGCTTGTGTATGAGGCCTGCCTGTCTGCATCACTGAATCTGAACAGCTGCTTGGCAAGGTACTTGAGGCTGACAGGTCAAGGGGGAGGCAGACAAGGAGGACAAGGATCTGAGGGACGGCAATGACAAGCCAGACAGCAAGGCACCGTCTGTATCACTTGACAAGCTGTCACTGCAGGCGTTGATCAGCCAGGGACAGGGGCAAGTGGTAGGAAGAGGGTGCACAAATGCTCGCAGGCAAGGGGCCAAAAGTCTCGGGCGCTCTGTCTGGCACCTTGCTTGCACCCCTCCCACATAGCCGTGCCGGCACCTTGGCTCTGCACACTCTCTCCTTGCATAGGACTTGCTCCTGAATTCTTAGACAGCTCCAGGGCTGCACAAGCCCACCCGCGTTACCTGTGTCCCCGTGACCTGGAAAGGACAGCTGAGGGTCGTCCGAACACTCGCCTGACACATTGGAAAAGTGGCCCAAGGTGTGCGATGCCTGGGTTGTCTTTGTGCGTGAGCGTGAGGAAAGCACAAGAGCTACAGAGAGCGGTGTACCTGGGTCGTCTACGTGCGTGAGCGTGAGGAGAGCAACCTAGGTCTGGCTTGCGCACACGCCCTCCAACCGTCCGTCTGCGGCATCCGTCTGTCCATAGAGCCCCTGCCACGGGGTTTACACCAGGACAGGGCACAGCTGCAGAGGACCGTTCAGAGCACGGACCCCTGCAAGCAGAGGCCCCCCAAGTTGACCCAAAAAGAATCTCACACACCTTTCCAGGAAGTCATGCCTTTTGTTCCTGACAATAAGCCCACAAGAGACTGGGTGCCAGCACCCCCAGGTAGCCTCTGCACAGACTGGGAGCCAGAGTGTGCTGTCACAGCTTTGTTCCAGGCCATCTGCCTTGCTGCAGCAGGTGCAGGTTCTGCAGGAAGCTGTACGTACGCCTGAGTCAAAAAAATGTGGTCCTTGCTGAGAAGCAAAAGAAGCTGCATTGGCCGGGAATCGAACCCGGGGCTAGGCAACTCAGCGGAAGCTGGCAATGCCCAATTTTGCCACTAAACCACCAATGCTTCACGTGATGTGGCAGTCTCCAGTAAACATTAGGTGGCATCACCCGGCAGCAGTCGAAGCAAGCCCTCCTGCTCTGGATTTGACGAGTCTGAATGCAGAAGAACCCCGCAAGGTGTTACTCCACCCTGCAATTCATCAAAGAGAAGAGCAAGCTTCTCCCCTGCTGCTTCCCTCCCTGCTCCTATCAGGGGACTTCAGCACGTTGACCGAGTCCCACACTGCGGTCTAGGCGCGAGG